GGGGGGAGGGAGAGGAAAGAAAGAAAGAGGGAGGAAAGAGACAGAAAGAGGGAGGAAAGGGAGAGGGAGAGAAAAGAGAGAGAGGGAGATGAAAGAAAGAAAAAGGGAGAGAGAGAGATCAGAAGCCAAGAAGCTCAGGTTTTCTGTATACAATTGGGCTGAAAGATGGGGTCCATGGTGAGAAGGGAACCAGCCTTGGTTACTTACCTGTACCAAACACCTTGAAGGTTTTACAGGTTATTTATTTCTTCATGAGAGTATCTTCTCCCTGTCCAGATCTAGAAATGGATTCTTTAGACTAGAGGGGAAGAAAAATGAGATCCCTTCTTGCTTGGCAAAGCCTGCAGTTGGGACTAATTCTAGCATTAAAAATGGGTTTAGGGACCCTGGTCTTTGAAAATGCTGGTTTTGCCTTTGTCCTTAAAGGCAAAAGCAGAAAAAAAAAGAGAGAGATCTGTTTAACTTTGAAACTAGGGACAGACGTCTGTAAGTCTGCTAATGTCACGTAAATGGCTATAACCATTATATTGATGCAAGACTAATCAATGGGAAACAGGAATCTGTCTCTGCGGTATTTGGGTAATCAATGTAAATTCTGGGGCATGTTTAAAGGCTACCTTTAACCCCACTAAACTCGCTGACTTCTCTTTACTGTCTATATCCAGAGTCTAATGTTTCCAAGAGAAATACGGATTTATAAGAGCACATGCTCTGTCTGGGGAAATTCCTATCACACCAATTTTTCCTTGCAGAAATTTGTAATTTCTGTGGGTTTCAGTCTATGACCCTACATCAGGGGTCTTCAAACCTGGCCCTTTTATGACTTGTGGACCAACTCCCAAAATTCTGGGAATTGAAGTCCACAAGTCATAAAAGGACAAAGTTTGAAGACCCCTGCCCTACATAGAAATAGCCCCTTTTCACTTGGTAGGCTTTATTGTATAGAGACGAACAGGAAAAATTAAGGTTTTTTTGACTAATTACAATGTATTTTACAGACCAGGGTGGTTTTCTCTTTTCAGAAACTAGGTATAAAAAGGATTAAATTTAAATTGTGACTTGTTGAATTCATGGGGGGAAAATAGATGCCTTTTCTCCAGCGATTCTTCCTTATTGTTTTGTCTTCATGGGAAAAAAAATGCTTTGACATTTAATATGAGACTGAAAATGATGAAAATAAGATTATATTCATCATGTGATAGGCAGATGTTCGGGATAGGACTCTTAATTCAGTAACTAAGCATTCTGTTACGAGTAAGGTGTTTTTTTTTTGTTTTTTTTAAAAAACTGACTTCTGTAAGAATCCACATAACTTTTACAAATAAGATTTACAGGACAGTATTAGTTTCTTATCTCTAGAATTTTGGGGTAGAAAATACTTCGTAGCTGAGTCTCCAGAGAAGGGATTAGTGCAGGGGTCTTCAAACTTGGCCCTTTTATGACTTGTGGACTTCAATTCCCAGAATTCCTCAGCCAGGCACGTGTACCTGGCTGAGGAATTCTGGGAGTTGAAGTCCACAAGTCATAAAAGGGCCAAGTTTGAAGACCCCTGGATTAATGTATGCAAATATGTTCTGAGTACAAATCTAGAACAGGAGACTTCCAAGTCTGGAGTTTGGTCCGAAGCTTAAGTAACCACTGAAAACAATCCTTTGATTGTTTTCAAGTCATTTTATTATTTAAATTAAAGGCTTTACAGGTAGTCCTCGGCTTACAACAAGTTCATTTAGTGACCGTTCAAACTTGCAACAACCCTGGAAAAAGGGACCTATGACCGTTTTTCACACTTAGGACCCTTGCAGCCTCCCCATGGTCACGTGATCAAAATTCAGATGCTGGGCAACTGGTTCGTATTTATGACGGCAGCATCCTGGGGTCACGTGATCCCCTTTTTGTGACCTTTTGGGAAGCAAAGTCCCTGGGGAAGCCAGATTCACACATATCAAGGGTGTCATTGATTTAACAACTGCAGCGATTCGCTCCACAACTGTGGCGAGAAAGGTCGTAACACGGGACGAAACCCACTTAGCGACATAAATTTTGGGCCCCATTGTGGTCGTAAATCGAGGACTTACCTGTGTTTTTAAGGGGAGGAGAGGCTTAATTAGGAAGTTCACTGGTGGCAATGGCAATTGAGACCCGAAATTTGTCACACTGCAAAGAGGTCGCAAAGCATCACCTGATTGCGTTACTTAGTGACAACAATCCGGACAGTCTCCATTGCCGTTAAGTGAGGACCTGACCCTTTCTTGTGATGTTCTGCCGGCTTCCAACCAAGTCAGTGGAGAAGCCAGCTGGAAGTTGCAGGTCCATAACGAGCGAGTGGCTCAGGGTTGTGTGTGCGCATGCTGCAACGTGGATGCAGGTGGGGGCATGGGTCGGTGCCAGGGGGGAGGGTGTTGTGGCACGGTGTGAATGTGGCTGGGCATGCAGGAGGAGGCTTCTCAAGAGACGAGCCTCCCCATTATTTTTGCTTTGTTTATCCTTGTTTATGGGATAAACCTGTATTTTCTTTTACTCTGATCGCCACTTCCTGGTTGTCTTGTTCTGCTTGCTTAAAGTTGCCAAGGGTCTGAATTTTGATCACATGATCCTGGGGATGCTACAAAGGTGGTAAGTGTGAAAAATGGTCCTAAGTCACTGTTTTTCAGTGCCATTGTATCTTTTAATGGCCACTAAACGAACTGTTGTAAGTCAAGGACTACTAGTACTGGGGATGAGGATCAGAGAAGGGAGCATGAATTAATTGTCAAGCACATCATTTTAGGTTGCTTTAATGTCACTGTGTTCCCACATGCATGTTGCTCAGCTACCATCTAGTTCTGAAGCACAGGTACTTCTAGTTTGGGGACTATATTTTCTTACTACCGGTAGTTAGATTTTTTTTTCTCTCTTGTTGATACATTTTTTTCTGAATGTCACCTGATTGTCACTGACTTCTAATAATAATCTGCTGAGTAACCGTGTGTTGATCCACGTAGTTCTGCGAACTCTTCTTGGTTGGCTGTGCAGAGTAATGTTCCAGAATTCTTGGAAGAACTGACTTGTTGCATAATAAGTAAACCTCATTCAAGTGTTCCAGTGAAGAATACGTTTAAAGAGAGGGGGGAGAGGCAAAAACCAGTTCTAAACTTTCCAAAGGTATCCAGAAGCTTAAATTCTTAAATCAGTTTCAGATAATAGCTGTCTAAAATTTCCAATTATCTGTATCATGTTTCTAATTGGCTAAACCACACTGGAAATTTTCCAACCTTCCTGAAAAATAGTTTTCATTAGTTATTCTCTCCAGTTATAGAACGGCTTGTCCGAATATCTGTAAATAAAATGCCTGAACTCTTTAGAGATAATTCACGAGTACTTTGCTTTTGTTTGGTCTCAGGATAATATTCTTAGTACATGCAAATGGGGAATTGGATGTTCTGTACAGGTAGCCCTTGACTTACGACAATTTGTTTAGCAACCCTTCAAAGTTACAACAGCATTGGAAAACGTGGCTTACAACTAGTCCCCACATTTATGATCGTTGCAGCAACCCCACGGTCACGTGATCAGAATTTGGGCGTTTGGCAGCTTGCAAATATTTACAATAATTGCCAGTTGCTGACAAGCAAAATCAACGGGGGGGGGGGGAACTGGAGGCATTTAACAACTCATAACTCACAATAACTGCAGTAATTTCTTTAACGGCCCCGACAAAAAAAGGTTGCAAAATTGGATGTGATTTACTTAACAACTGCCACAGAAATTCTGGTCCCAATTATGGTGATAAGTCAAGAACTGTCTGTAGTACTAAGTAGGCTGTTCGGTCAAATGAACCATTGGAAATCATTTGTTTTCCTGCTTTCATTAGAGGACACATCCTGGTAAGGAAAATTGGCATGCCAAAAAAAAAAAATGGCCCGTAGGTTACCAGTAGTTAATGATAATCCACTGGTTTGGGTTATTTTATTGATTTGTATCTTGCCTTTACTCCTTTTACAAGTAACTCAGGGTGGCAGACATAGAAAGAAGTAGCTTCTGATTTTCTTTGCAACAGTTATAAATTCAGATGCAAAATTGCCTCTTACTGAAAGGTTACAAAACAACCTCTTTTTTGGGTACATTTTGTCTATTTGTTTTTTTTTTCCTTTTTGTATATTGTTGCAAACTTTGCTACATTATATTGTTTCAAAATAAGGATGTTTATACTCTCCTTGAAAATAGGATTGCAACATCCAAGTCTTTTTTTTTTCTGTTTCCATGTACGATTATTTCTGCTTTATTAATAAGGTATGGTTAGAGTAAATCTGAATTAACCTGAGCAATTGAGAATTGCTAGATATTACTGCAGGTGAAAACCTATTCAGGAGAAGCAGCCCTGTGATTTGTACATATTGACAGAGACAGTTTTAAACACAACTACATAGTACCTGCAATATGATTACTGTACAGGTAGAACTTGACTTACAATCACTCATTTAGTGACCATTTGAAGTCACAATGGCACTGAAAAAAGTGATTTACGGCCAACTTTACTCAGGACCGTTGCAGCATCCCCAGGGTCATGTGATCAGAATTTGGGCTCTTGGCATATATTCAGTATGATTCCAGTATCCTGGGGTCATGTGATCGTTCCCCCCCCCCCATTGACATTGATTGTTGGAAGCCTGCCTGGAAGATCATAAATGGTGATCACATGACCCAGTCATGCCACACAAGATTTTCCTATGAGTTGCTTTTTTTGGGTGGTGGCGATATTCGTGTGTGTGTGTGTGTACCTTTGTTTTATTTCTAACTATACAATTTGATTTACAATACATTTAGAGTAATTGCTAGCTATTTCAAGAGGTTTGGCTTATGTTCTCCTTTAATAATGTGCAAATGATTTTCTGTTTCATTTAGCAAAATCCAATACAAATGGAGTTTCTTCATACATACCAAACCAGGTTTTCATGGGTGCGATACAAGTTTGTTTGGTTTTTTAAAAAAAAAAAAATCCTGAAAATTAAGTGGCTCATTTGATTGTGTGTTGTTGCCAGTGGGGTGGGGGGGTGGGTATATTGTTTTTCTTTTATATTGGGCTTTTATTCTTTGTAAGTCACTGAGAATCACTGAGAGTGGGCAGCCATATAAATCAGATAGACAGACAGACAGACAGACAGACAGACAGACAGACAGACAGATAGATAGATAGATAGATAGATAGAGACAGATAGACAGACAGACGTAGATAAATAGATTGTTGGAGAGACAAATTGACAGATAGACAGATTGATAGACAGATTATACTTTTCATGTTTTGTCAAGGGAGATATTTGCCTGCAAAGGGCTACCAAAAAATGCTTAGGAAATTACTGTCTTAATTGCCTTTGTGGGGAATTTTGCAAGGCCATTGCTCGCTAAGTAAAGACTTTCATTGTATGAAGGATATGCGCTATTTAGAAACTCCATTATACATTTGTTAAAATCCTACTAGAACTATTTTGCTGGCAGAGGATGCGATGCGCTCGCTCAAATTAAAGCATTATCCACTTTGCCTACGAAAACCTTTGAGCCCAATAAAATCCACAGACATGCTTAGGAGATAAACAATGGAGATTATTGCTGGGCAGGTTCTTTGCCTTGTAAGTCACGCTAAGCTAAGATTCTAAGTCTCGCTGGGGAATTCTGGGAGTTGAAGTCCAGACTTCTTAAAGCGGTCAAGGTTGAGAAACGTCGTAATCCTCGGCTTATGACCACAATTGAGCCCCACATTTTTGTGGCTAAGTGAATATTGCCTCATTTTACGAGCTTTCCTGCCACGGTGGTTAAATCACTGCAATTGTTAAGCGAATATCACGGTTGTTATGGGGCTTAACAACCTTCCCCATTAACTTTGCTTGACCCCAGGACACCGCAACTGCCTTAAATGTGAATCAGTTGCCAAGTGTCTAAATTTTGATCACATGACCCTGGGGATGCTGCAACAGTTGTCTGAAAAATGGTCATAGGTCTCTTTTTTTCCAGTGCTGTTGTAGCTTTGAACGGTCACTAAATGAACCGCTGTAAGTCAAGGACTGGCTGCAATGGCTGGGAATCCACCTCACTGGTTTGCTTTCTGAGAAGCCTGCTCAACAACTTCCAGCAACTCTGCGGCGCCCACTGAGAGCGAAAAAGAGCTTCATGTTTTTCAGGAAAATAAAATACAATGCGTTCCCAAGCGTCTGAGATCATCTTTTGAGAGAAGAAGGCTTGGATAAATTTACAGAATTTCATGTCAGTCTCCCTGTCTTGTATAATTACAGTGCCAGGAGATTTGGGAAACCAGCTACAAGCCAAGTTGGACAAACCATCCGTGGTGCACTATCTCTGCTCTAAGAAGACAGACAGTTATTTTACATTGTGGCTGAATTTAGAATTGTTGCTTCCAGTTATCATTGACTGCTGGATAGATAATATCAGGTGGGCTGCACTGTTGTTTGTATAATTCAGTCAGATACGGGGATGTGTGGAGGGGGGGAGGAGGGGCAAAAGACTGGCTAGAAATTAAGAATAATCATGAATGAAGAGAAAAATGCTCTGTAAAAGCTGAGTGGATTTATTTATGGAATTTGTAGGCTGCCCTGACTTATTACAAGTCTGGCGTGGGGTGGGTTTATACCAGGGGTCTTCAAACTTGGCCCTTTTATGACGTGTGGACTTCAACTCCCAAAATTCCTCAGCCAGCGTGCCTGGCTGAGGAATTCTGGGAGTTGAAGTCCACAAGCAGGGGTCTTCAAACTTGGCCCTTTGATGACTTGTGGACTTCAACTCCCAGAATTCCTCAGCCAGCGTGCCTGGCTGAGGAATTCTGGGAGTTGAAGTCCACAAGCAGGGGTCTTCAAACTTGGTCCTTTGATGACGTGTGGACTTCAACTCCCAGAATTCCTCAGCCAATGTGCCTGGCTGAGGAATTCTGGGAGTTGAAGTCCACACGTCATAAAAGGGCCACGTTTGAAGACCCCTGGTTTATACCAAGTACAGCAATATTCTAGTACTGATGACGTTTACCTAGTTTGGTAGTGAAACATCTGCAAGAAAATAACTATACTCAAGGACCCCACAGAGCAATATTTCAATATTATAACCTAGTTAAATCATCCAAAGTCTAGAAAAAGCAGTCCTTGACCAGAAAACCATACCAAGGCTTCTATTAACCACAATAAATTCAGGGCCTGGGGATGGAGAAGATCATATTAAGGGACCCATCGCCCCCAATTCAGAGCCTGGAGATAGAGCCCAATTTTAGGGCTTGTTTAAATAGGGCCAGGACAAGTGGGGGCCCATTTGAATCTACTGTGAGAATGGTACTCCAAAAGGCAGGCACTACGACAGAGAAAGGCTTAAGGTTTAAATTTTGTGACATTACACGGATAAACAATTTATCTTGTCAGTGGTCAAGTCGTTTTGAGTTTGACCAGTTACCCATCTTGCACTGTGGTTTTTAAGCATCTGGTTGTTCTTTCTTCTTTGCATGTTAGCTGTGAGTTAATGATCAACTTGCTTGTCACATGAATGTGTAGAACAAACAATATATATGATGCAGTCTTTTCCCCCCTTAACTGTAAAGTAGAAGCAAGTTAATAAATCTCTTGTTGACAAGGCATTTGTGCATTTATTGGTCAAAATGACCAAGTACAGCCATTAGTTACATCAATTGCAGGAGAAAGAGACAAAACGATGAGATTTCAGAAGCTAGGTCATCTGTGCTTCTATTGACCGAGATTATAAAGGAGTGAAGAACATGACTGGCTAAGAAAAAAATGACCTGGCAATTAAGTTTAACCTAGTTAGTTTGCTTAAATACAGTAGTGGCCAAAATTGTGGAAACCTTTTGGGAAAAGTGTATTTTTGAGGTTCGATGGCTAGTAACACCACTTTTTTTGGAGTAGTACCATAAAATTATATATCAATGGAAAGATAATTTAATCAAGAATGTAATGCAACAAAGTTTGTTCAATTATCTGTACTGTATTCTATGAAAAGTTATAGCCAAATAACCAGAAAAAGGAAGCACAACTTGCTCAGGTTGATCTCAGGTAGCTTTCCTTCATCTGATTGTAGCCAATGAGAAGGAGTGCTTAGAGAGCCAATCAGGTGTCATCTTGCTTTGGCAATGAGCCAATCAGATCACAGTAGGATTCAGTTACTGATGTCCTGTATTGAAGCTAAGAGGAGAACATTTGTCAATGTGTTGTGTGATCTCTATCAAGCTGGTTGGGTTTTTTTTGTGTTCTTTCATTTAGTGAGCTTGCAAAACGTAATAAAATTAAAGTAATGGTGCAAAGAGCTGACTGATCGCCCAGAAAGCGATGTAAAATAGTATTATTAAGTGAACAAGGCTACAGTTATAAAGAAATTAGAAGAAAAATGGGTGGAAATTTAACCAAAGGTGGCATTTCTGCTGTACACTTTTCCCAAAAGCTTCCCACAATTTTGGCCATTACTGTGGATGTGTTGGAATAATAATTCCTAGAATTCTTATCTCTAGAGCCTATTGACTATGGTGATTACAAATTCTGAGGGTGCTTTTGATTGGGAATGATGAATTAACAGTTTACTTCTCAGGATCCTTTTGTAACAATTAAATTTGACTTTTAGGGCTTGCAATGTTAAGTGGATACATTTCTTAGGCTATATTAAGTCTTCTAGAGGGACTCTGTTAAACTACTCTATCCGAAGGTGACTGACAATGTCCCAACTCTTAAGTGGAACGTACCAAAAGGCAGGTTATGTTTATGGCGCATTCCGCTTACCAATAAATTATTAAAGGAAGCCAATCACTCCCTAGACTTATTTTTGCCCTACAACGGTATGCTCTGATACTGAAAACTGATCACTGAAGAAATGAGTTCAGAAAATTCCATTTAAAAATGTACATTTTGTTGATCTGATGGCTACGAGATGTAAGTATGAAATAGAATATGGTTAATTTCAAACTATTGACTTTCAGCTCAGCACAAAGCTGAAATTGACAACATTACAACATTATGAGTTGGCTATGTTCTTTTCAACAAAGTTCAGTACGTTCTGAGTTAGACTCAAACAAGCACCTTGTTCCCTTGTTTATCACTCAGAGGCAGAACTGTGGGTCCATAAGGTCCATGCCAGAAAGATTGGCACAGAGGATGAAAATAGACAAAAATACACGATGAGATAGGATTCTGTTCCTGTTTGAATTAATGCTGATTTTTCTCTCCAGGCTAGTGTACAATCGAACTAGTGGCTCTACTGCTCCCCCAGATGGGGTCAATATCAAAGTCCCTGGATTTGGGAAGACCTTTGCCTTGGAGTTCCTTGATCCTAGTAAAAGAAGTGTTGGTAGGTAATCTGTTTTCGTCAGGGTATGGGAAAGTATCAAGTAGCCGAAGCCTGAATAGCCCTTTCTCAGAGCACAATTTTGTCCACTGTTAGCTTTTCTTGTGGTGACTGATCAATAAGAGGAGGAACAAAAGAGCACATCTGTAGGTCTGATCATATATGCCAAAGGTCTACAGAACTCTGTTACCTTCCCACTGAAGTGGTAGCTATTTATCTACTTGCAGTTGCATGCTTCTGAATTGCTAAGTGGGCAGGAGCTGGAGCAAGGAACAGGAGCTCACCCCATCATATGGTGCTCGGGTCTCAAACCTGGGCTGCTGACTTTCCAGCTGACAAGCCCAGCAGCTTAACCACTGAGCCATTGTGCCCACCTCCCCACCTCAACCCCAACCCCCCCCCCCACTTCAGCAACTAAGGAAACATTAAACTTACAGATAAGGCCACCTGGTGTGGGCCACCTGGTATGTGCAGAAGTTGATTTTTTTTTTAAAAAAAAAGAATATTTTTTAAAATTAAAAATAAGAATGAATTTTCAAAGTTCATTTTGTCAATTTAAATTAACAATAATAGAAAGAAAAGCTTCAAAGTGAGGAGGAATGTGCTTCTACACATAATAGCTCGTTAAGTCAATGCCCCCCCTTGAAAAGCAACGTATGAGAATTGGGGCTGGAGGAGAATCTCTGGTTTAAGCTCGCTCTGTGCAAAGGGAAGATTGTTCATTGAACTGTGGCTGACTCCCAGCTTCTCTCTTTGTCTACAGGCACGTACTTCTACACGCTGGTGCAAAAACTAGTAGACTTGGGCTATGTGCGAGATGAAAGTATTACAGGCGCTCCTTACGATTGGCGGAAGGCACCAAGTATGATTTACGCTATTATAAGGGTTTGGGCTCTTAAATCTTTTGATAATAAGATTGTTAAAGGTTATGTAATAAGAAAGCTACCATGCTATCAAGCAAAAGGCCATTTTCTGGAATAATTGGTTTTCTTTTTCCCAAGGTTGCTTCTGGACCTCAAGTAGTCTTAGATAAGTTTACTCAGAAAATTAAGGTTACGGATGTTATTTATTTACTGGATTTCTGTGCTACCTATCTCACTAAAACAGTGAGCCTGGGCCACATGAGCTTGGAATATCATCCCTTCGAGACTTCGTTTTGCCAGCAGCCCTGGGAAACCCAGAGTGGGAGTCAAGTGGCGTATTTGGCCACGTGTTATCGCCAGCGGTGGGATGGGGGGGATTATTGTTTTTTTTACTTTTATTTTTTTTTCCTATACTGGGTTTTTATTGTTTGTATGCTGGCTAAGAGTCACATAATAACAGTTTAAAAGTGCAAAAAATCAATTAAAATAGAATAAAAAGTTAAAAAGTACAATAAAAAACTAAGATGATGGGCAGCCTGGTACTTGGTTGAGAAATGTCTCATATTTCCCCCCCCCCCAATGGTCACATGTTAGCAGGGAGAGTAACACGTAGCCTGTGGAGATAGGAGGACCTAGAATCGGAACGTTGTTAATACTTATAACTCTCCCTTTTTTGATGTAGTTGTGTCTCCCCTGACAGACATTTCCTCAATGAATAAATCCCATTCTTTTGGCTTTAAACTTTCAAATGCATCAACAGAGAGAAAAAGGCCAGTGATTGTAAGATGTGTAAGATATAAGATGTGATTACAAGATTACAAGGATTGTAATTACAAGATGATTAGGGGACTGGAGGCTAAAACGTATGGAGAACAGTTGCAGGAATTGGGTATGTCTAATGAAAAGAAGGACGAGAAGTGACATGATAGCAGTATTTGAGGGGCTGCCACAAAGAGGAGGGGGCTCAATCTGTTCTCCAAAGCAGCTGAAAGCAAGACCAAGAAACAATGGATGGAAACTAATCAAGGAGAGAACCAACCTTAGAACTAAGGAGAAATTTCCTGACGGTGAGAATGATTAACCAGTGGAGTGCCTTGTCTCCAGAAATTTTGGGTGCTCCATTACTGTAGATTTTCAAGAAGAGATAGGACAGCCTTTTATCCGAAATGGTATAGAGAAGAGGTTGGACTAGAAGACCCCCCCAAGGCCCCTTTCAACTCTGTTATTCTGTTATTATACAGTGACAAAGTGTCCCCAGGTTATACTCCCAAAAATCATAGTAGTGTAACTAAAGTTCCATCTCTCTTTATTTAGCATGTGGTGTACCTAAACCCTTTGAACACCGTAAATCAAATTTTCCCACTTTCTAAGAAATGTTGCTTTTGACCATTGTCCTAGGACAGGGGTAGGCAACCTTGGCTCTTTTATGACTGGTGGATTTCAACTCCCAGAGTTCCTGAGCCAGCCATGCTGGCTCAGGAATTCTGGGAGTTGAAGTCCACGAGTCATAAAAGAGCCAAGGTTGCCTACCCCTGACCTAGGGTCTCTTCTGCTGTGTTGCTCACCTCTCCTCCCGCCCCTTTTTGGAAGCTGATGCAATTTGTCTCTCTAAAACCAATCACAGCCCATTGTTGAAGATGTCTCTTTGGCACGTGATCAGATGCTATTTTTTGCTAGTTGTGTTCTTCGACATTTGGCAGGCTCTACAACTGCATTTGAGATTTTAATTTTGTTGCCTCGTCTGCCATGTTTTATTTTCAACCACTAAAGAGCTAAACAATTTTTTTTTTAAAAAAAACCAACAACTTCCCTTCCCCGGTGTCTCTCTGTGTGTGTGTGTGTGTGTGTGTGTGTGTGTGTGTGTAAAACCGTCCTTTCATCCTTGAGAAACCTTGCTTCCTTTTCGTATATTTGCAAAACAGGATCGTGAGGGTTAGATTTCTTAAGAAGTTTGATAGGCTGCATGGAGGCTTTCCAACTTCTCCAGAAAGAGGAGGTGAATATCCTTGCTAATGTACAGTAGCCAAAAACATCAAACAGGACTAGAATACCAACCTTTTTTAACCCAAGCGCAGAATACATCTATCTTGCTACATGAGTTTTTACTTGGAATTATGAACTTCAGGCCGAAACTTTTAGAAAACTTGAGTACGCTGACAAAAAATCTCTTATCAGTTTTTTTTTGCTGTACATTGTTACAGTTTTAAACAAGCCCAGTGGAATAATAGAAATAATGAAAAGAATGTGCAGTGCTGTTAATAAAAAAAAATTATAATTCCTGCTTTAAAATATCACCCAACAAGCAAGGACAAAGGGATTTTTAAATACAAAACTCAATAAATCACCTTACAGGTATACAAATATGGTTCTTTTTAAAATAGACATTCACACTGAGTTCAGACTGTTGGGCTTTAAGGCTAAGGTTAAGGGCGGTGGTGTAAAGAATAAAAACTTTGCAGTTCTAAAAAAGAGGGCATTAATTTTAAAATTTAATTTTTATCAGAAATGTCAGGTTTCACTTCTGTGATTGTGACTCACTGAAGGAGTGTCAGAAAAATAAGCAAACTCTGAAGTTTTACCCAGACTTTATCCTTATTCTACAATTATATCAGAAGATGAAATGCAAGTATGTCTTCATAGTTTTATAAATATTGTTGAAATCAAGATTAGCTTTAGGGCTTCCTTGAAATGTGCTAGTGTGCATATCCTTCATAAAGTCATTGTGTAAATATATATATACTGTATATATATTTTCTGGGTGTGTTGCAGTTATTATATCAATTGCAGTTGCAACACCTCACTCTCAGATCATGGGATCAACCGTAGAAATATTTTTGTTCTTTAGAAAAGTGTGAGAAAGTAGCAAAGGATTCCTTCATTTAGGACAGGGGTCTTCAAACTTGGCCCTTTTATGACTTGTGGACTTCAACTCATGCCCGGCTGAGGAATTCTGGGAGTTGAAGTCCACAAGTCATAAAAGGGCCAAGTTTGAAGACCCCTGATTTAGGACAACCTTGGCCACTTTAAGAACTGTGGACTTCATCTCCCAGAATTCCCCACTCAACCTGCTCTCAGAATTCCCCCTGCTGGTTAGAGAATTCTGGGAGTTGAAGTCCACCAGATTTAAAGTTGCCAAAGTTGGACGCCCCTGACCTAAACTTTTAACACATTTCTTAGAATGATAATTAAACGGGATATCTTGAATTGCAGATAAAGACATTTCCCAAATTAAAAGGAATTACTTCGTTAGCAAATAACCAGTACAGAACTTGAGCACAATCCCTGGAAGTGTTTGTGATTGATTGATTGGTTGGTTGGTTGGTTGGTTGGTTGGTTGGTTGGTTGGTTGGTTGATTGATTGATTGATTGATTGATTGATTGATTAAACCACCCACCTTTCTTACATTCCCTTGGGCAGACCTTATTTGTTCATGTATAAGGCCACCCTGAAAACAAGTCACTACTATATTAAAAATTCTTGCATTCTTTCCCCAGCAGGCTATTCCCTCGTGCAATAGCCAAATTCTAAAGTTGATAACCGGTTGATAGGTCAACAAAAGCTTTTAAACCGAATGAAGGTAATGACTTCCTTCTTCCCGCTGGATAACTTCTGTGTCTTAATCCTTGTAGACGAGAATGGAGACTATTTTGAGGCTCTCCGGAAGCTGATCGAGATCATGTATGAAGAGTATGGCGAACCGGTGGTCTTAATTGCCCACAGCATGGGGAACATGTATTCTCTCTACTTCCTCAGCCATCAGCCCCAGGAATGGAAAGACAAATACATCAGGGATTTTGTGTCCTTGGGGGCTCCCTGGGGAGGAGTAGCTAAAGCTTTCCGGGTGCTGGCATCAGGTAGGTGGGGCTGTGGGGGCTGTGGTGCATAGTTCGATCCTCGGAGGAGGAGGAGGAGAAGGATGTGGGAAATAATTCAGTTTGGTCTAGTGGTGAAGGGCATCAGAAATTGGGAGGCTGATCAAAATGCTGTGAGTTTTTAGGGATGGATTTTGTAATTGTGAAAAGTCACTGACAATTAAATGTCCAGGTGGTGCTTAGAAATTGGGAAACGTAGGTAAGAGTGTAAGGGGTCTTTGGCGCTCTCTGAGCTTGTTTGTTTTGCAGACATTTCATTACCGAACTAGGTGACACCATCAGTGGTAGAACAGGGGGTGGGTTTTTTTCTCATTTTATATACTAGTGGCTTGCCCTGTCATTGTTAATGGGAGTGGTCTTGATAAGATACTATCAAACAACCGCTATAAAATTAATCTGGTATAATCACTTTCTTCTCTCGCAAAAAAAAAAGCTCATGACACGATTGTTTTTGAAGCTTTTCTTCATGCACTTCAAGCTTTTATATCAAACTTTTGTACGGAGGCTCTCCACATTCTTTGTTGAGGAAGGGGGTCCTTATCTAATTTCTAAGTTCCAAGTTGTAACTCTTTTTTTTTTTCTTTTTTTTTTGGCTTAAACTTGAGTTGCGAGTTTACGATCGACTGAATTCCTAACAAGCCCTGCTTTCATGTCACAGGTGACAACAATCGGATTCCCGTGATCAGCTCCTTTAAGATCAGGGACCAACAAAGGTCGGCTGTCTCCACCAGCTGGTTGCTTCCTTACAATTACACTTGGTCTCCAGGGAAGATCTTTGTCAGCACACCGTCCGCAAACTATACGATTCGGGATTTCCAGAAGTTCTACGTGGACATTGGGTTTGAGGATGGCTGGCTCATGAGGAAAGCTACCGAAGGTTTGATTTACAGCATGACACCCCCAGGCGTACGCACACACTGTCTTTACGGCACCGGAGTCAATACTCCGGACTCCTTTTTTTATGACAGCTTCCCAGATAAGGAGCCGAAAATCTTTTATGGGAACGGAGACGGAACAGTAAACGTAGAAAGTGCCTTACAATGCCAGAAGTGGATAGGTCAGCAAGAACAAAAGGTGATCCTTTACGAGCTTCCAGGAAATGAACATATTGAGATGCTCTACAATAACTTAACCATATCCTATGTTAAAAAAGTTCTTTTCGGCTCATGACACAGTAGAAGTTCCACCTTTTTCCTCCAAGGCATTTAAATGCTTTTTTTTTTCCCAACGGGAACGCACAAAAGGATGTTTTGGACCTCTGTTTTTAAAGCTTCTTCTTCTTCTTTTGGGCTTATTTAATCTTGTTGGAAATTGGCACTGTTTTTGGTCGGCTAATGGTTACTTGTTTCCTAGAGTAACATTCGTAACAGGCCTGACAAAATGCACTAGTGCCATGTCTCGGTGCCCATCTGTGTGAAGGCGACGTCCTGTTCTCTGGGATGTAGGCAGTATTCCTCTTTCTATGTTTATTGAGCTAGAAGGTCAAGGAGAGGACCTTAAGAAGTTCTCACCAAGAGGTCACCAATGCTGGGTTGTTGTTGCCAATATGAACCTGGGAATTGTGAAGCCCCTGCAAAGGGTATTGACCTAAACAGGCATGGGTTGAACCTTAGATTGGCCTCAACAGCCCAGAAGTGAATTGTTCTTGAAGACAATGCAGAAGCTGGAAATCCTTAACAAGATTTTTTTAAAGTAAGATGAGCCTATTAATTTGGTTCCTACTTGACAAGATGAAGGCTAAAGGATGATGATAAAGTTTGCTATCAACGATTTTCACATTATATTTTAAGCTGGTGATCCAGATCATGTAACAGTAGCTGCGACATTAGTACTTGACGTCTTCAATATGGTCAAAGGCCAGTGTTAAGATAGGAACTATTTTAGCCAGATGCCTTTCACTGGAGACCTTGGAGTGATTCTCTAACAACCTGTTGGTTTTTGAAGTGAGATACTAATCCCACTATTTTTTGCTGTTGCACATATTGCCATTGGGGTGTTGTTAAGTCAGTTTCAATAGTATCTCTCCCCAAATCCAGATGTATCCTCAATACAGTATGGACATCTACTTTTTTCTGGCGTTTCTCCTGGTGGTGTCAATTTTTTACCCTAGTCCTTTGATCATATCTTCTTGCATAAAGCTAAAAAAAAAATAAATAGAAGGGCATCACTCAGATCTGCAGCAAGCACGCATAAACTGTGAGAAGTCCTTTGAAGAAACAATACCTAAAATTACCTGGGACTGGAGAAGACTAATGATTGAAAGGCTACCATTTGATATTTGTAGCCACCCAATGAGTCATCTGATCGATAGCAATCCAGCAATAAAATAACTCAAGTCTCTTTACAGCAGGGGTGTTCGACTTTGGCAATTTTACGACCTATGGACTTCAACTTCCAGAATTCTCCAGCCAGCCTTGCTGGTTGGGGAATTCTGGGAGTTGAAGTCCACAAGTCTTCAAGTTGCCAAAGTTGGACATCCCTGCTTTACAGGAATGCAGCCCAGTGCTGCTTTCAGCTTGCGTTGTCCTATTGTCCTGTCTGTTGAATGTAGTTGCGAACGTTCGAATGACAAGATGGACCTTTTCCAACCAGTGGTTTCATGGAATGCTTTGAATGCAAAACCTTGAGATCTGTGCCAAACCTCCCAGCTAGAATATCGGACAAATCTGTAAGTTTCAACGTTGTGATTTCAAACCAGGCCTTCCCTGACCGCACTGCGGAACACCAGTGTGGAACACTCCTTGAGCAAAATGTGTTATTCCTGATTCTAAGACCTTGGACTGCGGGCCTGAGGAAACAAACCCATGGAATCTACACAAAACATCTCTCCATCTTCTCCCTCGCTAATATGTAATATGTTTATGTCTTTTCATCATCTTCCATTTTTTTTTCTAGGTTGTAAAGTGTTGGGCCGCTCAGTTCATTGCGTTTTAGGACAGACACTCAAACCGGTTGCCTGCACATGGATCAGGGTGTAATCCATCCTACAAGCCAAGTTGAGAAAAGCTTTTTAGCATCAAATTGGTGTTGGCTGCTTTGATCAAACATACCTGTACTTCGTTGACGATCATGGCAAACCCAGGGCCCGTTTAGAACTTCTGGCAGTTTCCAGCGCTTTCTTCCGTGAGAAGAACGCGGCAAACCACGCCTCAACGTCGTCAGGAATTTTATCTTTTTAATACGGTTATAATCCCTAGTTCTTCAGGATCTCTGTGCTGATGCAACCTGAAAAGCCACCTGCCCTGGCCTTGATTAGAGAGGGTGAAATGTTTCATAGGAATCGTTGCATCGTGTCGAGCCTACCTTTAAAGCCTCAAGGTAACATTAAGTGGCAGGCTGAAATGCACTTTTGTAAGCTCCTTTTATGGGCAGATGCTTCATTTGGCCTTGATAGCAAACTCTGCTGAGCTTGTTGGTGTAGAGAACGGGTATGAACCTCCGTGCTTGGAACCAGAATGTGAAATTCCTTCAGGGTTTGGCTATCTGGCACTATTTACAAGATGCCTGGTGTGGGAAGGGGGAATCTAAGCAACTCCCCCTCCCCAAATGTACATAGGCCCACTGCTTATCTCAGTTGAGACTAAGTCCTAATATTAATCCAGTGATTGCACACGTGCCCATAGAGGAATGGGTGGTTCCTAGGCCATTGCCCAACCAACACTTCTGGGCACGTCTCAATCCAATTTAATAGTGTTTCCCTCCAATCCTTGATCCATTTAGGCCAGAGCTGTCCAACATGGCAGCTTTAAGACCCGTGGACTTTAAACTCCCAGAATTTACCAGAATTCTGGAAGTTGAAGTCCACAGGTCTTAAAAGCTGCCAAGGTTGGACCCTCCCTGATTTAGGCCTTCATCTTCTACTCCACCAGGTAAGTTGACAGTTTTCGTGTCAACATTTGCATCCTCTGCTAGCTGTCAAAGGTTGATTAGGCAGAACTTCCTTAGCTATTTTGTTGGTGCTTCTATAAGTGGTGGTGCTGGTTGTGGTTTTTTTTTTTTTTGTTCTTTCAAGAAACCTCTTGTCTTCTTGCCTATGTGGTGCCTTTTTGGTGTCATCCTCTGAAAAATTCATCCTTGGGCCGTTTGTGGTCAATCTTGCTCAAACAAACCACAGTGTGTGCATGCAGCAATCCAGGATCGGTTAAAAAAAAGTGTTTAGCCTTACCATTTAATATTGTGAATTACGGTGGCTTGCAACCCTCAGTAGACTCAAGCTTGCCCAGTGTCTTAATTTGTCCATGAGTCACGGCCACGAACCTCAAGTAGCAAATTAGTTTTGTAAAACTTGCTTTTGTGGACCAAGTGCCAGCCTGAAGAAGCTGTAGCTTAGAGCTTGTGGAATTAAGTGCTCGGATTCACATTTTCACTGGGTAAAGATGATTTTGGTTAGTAGCCCTAGGGTGTATTTCTTTGGATCATGGTTTTATTGGTTACCAAGAGTATATAAAGGTTGCATTCCCTCACCCAGACTCAAGGTAATGTCTTGCAAATCACAAGTGCTTATAAACCATTTTTAATCCATACAGATGTTTGGCTTTTTGAAAACCCAAATACTTTCTGAGGACCAAATATAGTACTAAGATTATATATATACTCCAGCATCTGTATGTGTGTGTGAATGAGTGTATATATGTCTGTGTGTTTATAGATATATATGTATATCTGTATGTTTGTATATGTGTGTGTGTATGTATGTATATAGATGTATACATATATATGTGTATATATATACATACACACACGTGTGTGTATATGTATATGTATGAATGTATTATAAATGCTGAATGGGAGTTGAGCCCTCACTTAAGGTGTTACTGCTGCAGCAAAGTTTTAAGGTCCCTCTGTGTAAGAAGCAATAAGTGCAAATTGAGAATTCTTGCTATTAAGCTGGTTTGTGTTGGGTGCGTTGAGACACTCAAAAGAGTTTCAGAAGCAGAACAATGACTTTGCTTTTCGGTCGAACAGTATTTTGTACAGGACACTGTCTGCCAATGCCTCTGGTTTTTATAAATTGTTTTCTCTTGTGTATGAATGAGTAGATTTTTTTCCACATTTGTCATATTTTAATAACTTAATAAAAGTCTATGAAGTGCTATAGATAACGCCGGTGTGTTTTGATTTTTCGTGGAATAAGCCTGTGGTATGGAGTGTACAAGAGAACGTCGCTGACTTATTATGGCTTTCTTGTGTTTGGGCCTAGTGGGAACATGGAGGGTCTGAGTCTAGAAGGTTCATCTCTTTCTTCTCAATTCCACTTTAATAATCTGGCATTGTTGGCCAGTTTCTATTATTATTATTTTTTATACCATTTTGCACTATGAAAAGCTCTGGAAATTTCAGACGTTTGCATATGATTCATTCGGTTTAGCATGATTTTACAGAGCTATGGATGATCTGGGATTTTTTCTTCTTCTAGAAATAAACCATGGGACTTAACTTGGTTTAATCAGTAGCTAAAATGAACTTCCTTCTCTAGTCAGCAGAGGGCAGGGCTTCCCCTGGAATATTTACTACTCAAACTGAACTCATTTTTTCAACATGCAGTTGTAAAAGGGTCAAGATCTAATAACTGCTTATATTTATTCTCCACGTTTGTCTACCTCTTTGTTTGGTCCAAAAATTAATAAACGCGTGCCTCGATTCTACAGATAGAAAGGAGAGAGGAAGCACTGTGAGAGAAATCACAAGGAAGGTTCAGAAAAATTCTAGACTCCAATTTCTAGAATGCTAAAAGTTAGCATTGATAATTCCTTGACCGGGGTATTGTTTACTTCTTGGAGGTTGGTCTAGTGCTAATCTTGGTGTTAATATCTGCTCATATGGGTATTGATTGCGTTTTGATCATCTTTTTTAAGGGGTATGTAGATGTTGTTTATCTCTCTGTGCCTGTTGATGGCCAATTGTTTTCTGAATGCCAAGCTTCCAGGGATTTTCTTTGGCGTTTTTGAACTTGGCTTGATTTAGGATGCTCATTTTCCCAGCTGAAACTTATGATTGAGTCTTTCCATGTGTTGTGAAATTAAGAAGTTTTTCATCAGGTCTTCTATTTGCCAGTTGGTGTCATGGATGCCAAACACTCCATTAAGAGACTTTATGAAGTCTATTGGCCTTGCTCTGATCTCTGACACACAAAAGACTTATAGTCACCACGATGTAAAAAAGATGCTGAGACTCTAGAAAGAGTACAGAGAAGAGCAACAAAGATGATGAGGGGACTGGAGGCTAAGGCATATAAGGAACGGTTGCTGGAATTGGGTATGTCTAGTTTAATGAAGAGAAGGACGAAGAGGGACATGATAGCAGTGTTCCAATATCTCAGGGGCTGCCCCAAAGAAGAGGGAGTCAAGCTATTCTCCAAATCCCCTGAAGGCAGGACAAGAAGCAACAGGTGGAAATTAATCAAGGAGAGAAGCAACCTAGAACTAAGGAGAAACTTCCTGACAGTTAGAACAATTAACCAGTGGAACAACCTGCCTCCAGAAGTGGTGAATGCTCCAGCGCTGGAAGTTTTTAAGAAGAGACTGGACAGCCATTTGTCCGAAATGGTATAGGGTTTCCTGCCTGAGCAGGGGTTGGACTAGATGACCTCCAAGGTCCCTTCCAACTTTTATTATTATTATTATTATTATTATTATTATTATTATTATTATTATTATTATTATTATTATTATTAGCCCTTTTCTTCCATTGATGTCCTCTCTCTCTGAGATACCAGGTTAGGACACACTGCCCTGTTTTGTTCCAGAAACATTTCAAATTCTTAATTCTTTCCCATCTATCATCTCGTTTCTTACACAGGGAAAAAAAGGGAGGAAATTTGTAACTCCAGTAGGCAAGTAATCAATTTCATTTTATTTATTTTTACCTATCCCACTGATGCATGATATGGCTTTGGAACTTTTCCAACGCCAGCACATTTTAAATTTATTTTTCCTCTTTTTTTTTTTTTTTGTAAAATGTCAAAACATTGACATTCTTTTTGTTGAAAAGAAGATTGAAGCAGGGTTTTATTTTTCTCCTGAAAATGACTCAGACAACTTCATTACCGCTAGCAATATTGGAGTAAAAGGTTTGAATGGGGATAATGTCCCTCTGGGAAAGAGAGAGGATGGATTTTGCACGTAGCCGGA